GTTCTCTTGTTTTAATGCGATTATGAACCTGGATATTTAAGACGTGCCAGCCCTATTAAGTTCCGTACAACTGTATTTGGATTTCCAAAACTTTGCTTATGCACATGGCAGACTTTTTTGGCTGTAGGTTTATTTAAGGATCCAAATATTAGTTATTGTCACTGGTCAAACAGATGCTTTAACCGTAGAGTTGTCCATACCACGATTTTTTGTTAGCTACCGACAGGGTTATTCTGGTTCCAATGTTTACACAATTAGTTTTGATTTGATGATTACTGGGTATAAAATCCATACGAAGGCGTTTTTAGCTATATTGTTAAACATATATTGTGTCTGTAAGCTTTACTTTCAGACTCATAAACTTATAAAATAGATATGAAGATTAAAGTTCTACATTAGTTCAGTTGACATATTCAATTTTAGTAGATAACTATCGCGTTTGTGAACACTTTAGATAATAGAAGCCGAGTTAGGAAAGACGTAATGATCTAAGTAGTATAAAGAAATCCAGAAAATTTAAAATATGCCGGGTGATCGTAGTAAGCACTGTGTAACAAAGTATAAAACAGAAGCAGCATTCTTGAGTTTTAGGTGTTTGATTGCATACTCTCTTTTAGGTTTCAACCAACCGTTTGCCCGTGCAACGTGAGAGCGGACATACACCACTTAAATGAAATAGACTCACGTTAACGTCAGAACAATGTATCTGTAAAGTTAGATCTTTCATTTACCGTACCATAGTCAGTCTATGTAGTGTCTATTTGCCAAGATTGCCTGCCCTGGGTTTACCGCGTAATCAGTAGCAGCTAAAGTGCATTTTCGACTCATCAGGTTAACAACTGCTTATTTACTTTGTGTTTGAGAATGAGGTTTCATTTTAATGGCAACAACAACAGTCAAGTGCGACACACCTTATGACGATGCTTGATGGTCAAATGAGCGTGTCGTTTCCACATAGACCACTTGTATTTATTGGAACTTAACATAAATCCCACTAATACTATTGCGATAGTTACCTGTTGATTTATCTTTCCTTTGTAGGTTATGAAATTCATTTTGGTCCGTTTTCATCTTGGATAATCTTGTCTTAAAAACATTCTTTTTAAGGTTTGTAACAGAATACATTGCTTCTAGTATTTTTCACTGGTTATTTTCTCCCAGCAAAACGTCTTGTAGCCGTATAAAGAGCACGTGAAACATCGCAGTGTGTTTATCGCGAAATTGAAACGTTCAAAATAAGGCAATTTTAGAAGCAAGAGAAGTGGTGCACACCCAACTGTACACGGAGCTATTTTTTGTGACTGTTTTGAAAAATTCAACGCTTTGCGTAACTCCGTCCCTTGTTATTTTCACGTAACGTGGACACGCCGACAGTGATTCGCGATTAACACTGCAGGGGTCCGTCAACATATATGTTCGTAATCAACAATATCGCAAAATATCCAAGCAGTTAGTCCGAGACATCGGTACGGTTTTAGTACGCGTAAGTGTTCCTAAAACACCATATGCTGGTCCAAATCGCTTATCACTGGGAACAGAGTGATTGGGAAAGCAACCAGATCTATGTAAACAGTGTATAGAGATAGACATTGCTATAAGCTATAAACAGAGAGTTGTGTGCAAAGAACTGCCGGAGTGTGACAGTATTTTAAGAAATATTATCTCAATCAATATATTTCTTAAGAACATCTGTGTTGCTGGCAGCTAAATATCTACCCTCAGTGTCGGTCGTCCGACAGCTAGTATTATTGGTGAGATTTAATGTACATTAAGTATCTCAAGTAATAGTGACCGTTTGTTGGAATGAGGCTCAGATTGCCATCTATTTCTGACAAACATCAACTCTAAACATAAGGAGAAACACCATCTAACGTAGCGATTTTCACAATCGACTTATCGATCACATTACCGTTACCCATTGTTGGAGGTGTTCGACTGGATACTGTTGCTCATTCTGGAGCGAATGTTTAGACTCAGACCATCTAGTCCGAGCACATATTTGTCTAATGATGGACAACTAGAGGATGAGCTAGCCAACTGTTAAATGATATCCATTCCGAGGTAGGTTGATATGATATCCAGTAAGCTGCGAAAACAGCAGTTATATCTTCTAGTAACTTAAACTAAAAAGTTAGGAAAATTAGTGGATTTCAGAGGCGTCTGCAGCACTGATAGATGCCCATAAACTAATTCCATCTGACTCAGCACACGATGGAGAGCCGAGGCCGCCTGAACATATGTCGATCAAAAGCTTACATGATGATTGTGAGCAGTGATGGGTAGTGAAAGCAAAAGAGATGGAAAAGGTAGCAGCGACGGGTAACAGTAGACAACTGTTAAAACCCACCAAAGAAAAGGGTGTTGGTGAAACTCCCCCGGAGATGGAACCAATGGTAAAAACACTGAGAAACAGTCCAACCAGCCTTTACTCTCACTTCATCTACCCACTATCTCCAAGTAACCTGATGTAATTCCTCCAACCCTTAGTAAGGTTTAAACGACTATAAGTAATCTAAAGCGAGGGAGAGCAGCAGAGCCTGATAGACCAACCCCTGAAATTTTTAAGGGTCGTGGTCTAGATTTAGCAGTTAGACTAACTGGGATCTCAGCTAAAATATGGGGACTGGACATAATCTAACTGGTCTCGATCGCTGGTCGTCCCAGTTTACAAGAGAAAAACCTGGCAACCACAGAGTGTCTAAAATATTAACCTCAATAGTACTTCGACGTCTAACTACGGCAAATCCAAGAAAAACAGGCTGATATCAGACCTGGGCGTGGATGTATAGGACGACTATTCACTCTTCAGCAAATCCTGGGGAACAGGCACACTTTTGGACATCCTACTATAGTTATATTGTTTGACATTAAGATAGCTTTCGACTCTGTTGATCATGAGGTTCTATGGCAGCGTCTGTCATTGAAAGGTGTACCAAAGAAGTATAGGCCCAACTGGAACACCACTAGTCGGCTCAGAGCTTACGGCGAAGTGCCGTCGAAACTGGTTGCTTCAAGTAGTGTTCGTCAGGGTTGCCCGCTTTCTCCACTTTTATTTAACTTCATAATGAGATCTGATTTCTCAGGGGTTTATCTTCTACTAGATTCATCCAAAATTCATAGATGTTTTATTTATTTAAACACATAAACATTGCTACAGGGTAGCACCGAACAGATATGCGCCACATAAATCATTCGATTTATGTTAAGGCTGGGATACTGCCCGGGTGCCCAAACCAAAGTAGGCAGTTTTCTTAGGGGGCCATACCCGGAGCCTTTGACCTCAAGGTTTAATCCACGAGGCAGTGGAACAACGTCGAGAGATGCAGTCCCAAGGTAGCGGATGACCGACGATCGGTTCACACGCCATTTGTTCCTTCAGGATCCTGGAGCCCATGTACACCATTGGTTAGAATCAGGGTTCTCCAACCCCCCTAGGTGGGCCTTTCATATCCAACAACCCGGTTAAATCGCCGAACATTCGCTTTTCGTCTTCTCAATTTCATAGACAACAACTCCGTCACGATACAGCGAATAGGACTTCCCTGGCAGTGGTTGTACGCACGTTGTCATTTGGGAGCATTTCGAAACCTGACTCGCCTCACTCTCGGTCGTACCAGGGCATTTGAAGTCACTGACGATGTAGTTTACCGACCACCTTAAGAAACAATGCATGTTCGGGATGCGATTATCTTTCTCCAAATGAAAAGATAATACTTCTACATTGGCTTGTATGGTCGCCTGAATTAGTGATAAGGAGTGATGTAGTTGCATGCATCGACCGCTTTGCTTATCCTGAAAGTCATATCAGTACTGATGGTCATTATGAGTAGAGAACATCCTCAGGTTAGTGGTATTTGATTACAGGTGTCCACGAAGCATCGCTCATGTATTTCGGGACCACAGATTAAACAATGAGTTAGGAATGCAGTACTAGGTTGAAACGGAAAATTGATTGATGGGGTGGTTCTTCAACTAAAGTGGTTGGGACGTGTTACGTATGCCCCACCACTGCCTACCCTGTCGAGGGATGTTGTCTGGTGCAGGAGCAGGCCGGAAAAAAAACTAGGGGTGGTCAAACTAAAACATGGAATCAATCCATGAAGTCACTGACAATTGGACATGGTCATGTTAACAAGTATGTACTACCGATTGGGGCCTACATTATTATCGCAACCAATGTTTAGAGACTTTGAATGACATTGCTCGAAATCGTCTGCAATAACGCAGGTGCATTCTCTCTTTGTCTTCCCCAACTTCGACCGATGTACAGGCTCTACGGTGTGATGGACTGAAGTATCATATTAGCATACAGGTTATACATACTTGTGATGGGGATGCGGGTTGATGTAGACGTAGTTCCTAGAGGAATTATCGAGGTACTGGAATTTGTGATGACTGATTGGAAATTCAGCCACATATCAGATTAGTGTGATGGTTACACTTGTCGAACCCTACAGACAAAATTTTTCAGTGGATTATAGGATTCACAAGCAGTTAGCTGGAAAACACACATCTATCTAGAATAATCTCTAACCAATCGGGCATACAGATAATATCAGGCACGAAAAAAGACAGGTCAGGGAAAAAACGAAAGACAATGGATGGAATCTCTTCGCATACTTGCCAAGAATGGTTCTGGCTGGTTAAGGGGCACCTCGGAGACTGAAATAATATATTTCAAAGCAGTCGTTACCAACCCATAAAGTGGTGAGGTCTTTATGACGGGATAAATGCCTGAATAGTTGTTTTAGTAACAGTCCTCTTGGACAGAAATGTTGGCGATCTCCTTGCTTTGGCTCTTCTACATTAAGCAGAGGAACTCTTCTTCACATTAGAGCGTAATCAGGGGTTTAAACCGGTGCTTCAAAAGGGGAAAGTCTCCTACCGAACCTCTCATGTTAGCAACTTGTGCTTAGTTCGCACCCGTTGCAAATTTCCGCTAAGATAGTCTTTCCCTATGCATGAAGCTAATGCTCGCTAGGGAAGGACGTTTGGCTGAGCTTGTATATAGCAGGCAGTCACCACCGCCAGTTAGCCAAGCTGAGATATCGTAGGATCCACCTCCATCCAACCGCCCTAGCTAAAAGAACGCTACTATTGTTTTCTAGCACCTGTGATATCACCACTACTTTTTGGCCTGTTTTCATAATTTTATCAGGCTGCGGCACTCTAGCCGACAACAGGTTTAAAGTCACTATTATTAACTGAAATCACCCTTAACCTCTGTTCGGAGTTTCATCAAGTGGTCCGTTAAAAGAGTAATGAGACTGTATCATGCGGGTGCTAAAGACATCGAGAGGATGTGGTTTCGACAGAATCACCGCTAGACAGACTGCCAATGTTCAGGATTACTTGCACGAAGTGACTAAGCTATGGCAGATCGAAACGAGGTTGTACATCCCGTGATCACTAGATAGAACTATATTAACCAAACTTTTTCATCTAAGATAGTGTTGGAGTTTGCCTAGACCGACACTGAAATTCACCATATACGGATTAGCCCTAACTGTCATACTATCAGTAGCACTTACACTAGTATCCAAACGCAAGACGTAGGTGATACACGTCGCAAGCCAACAATGTTTCTTAAGACCATCCGACAAAAATGAATTACTTCGAGCCATGTGTGGTTTAAAAGACGGATTACATCCTGAGGCGATAACAGGAAGCAATTATATGTTCAGATCCACAATCATTTCTGTTATTATCGCTTGCAGTACGGAGGTGAGAAACCCTAATACATCACTTGATGCAATCAATTCATGGATCTACAGAGACCGGTCTTCTTGACACCAGTATGATATACATGATCGAGCGGTTTGAAACTGCATGATCTGAGTGGAACATCCGGAATCGAGAACTAACTACATAGTACCATGATGTTACGACTAAGTGACTAATTTCGATTATCTGAGCACACAAAATACTTGATAACAAGGTTCATCTAACCCCACAATTTAAATGAGAGCGCTCTGTTCTGGGACCTGTGTTTAATATGATCAAATTTATTCCGAGAACGATAAGAAACACATGGCACTTGCAAGCTCAAATTTAGTTTTCACGAGTATAAGGTTTATAGCACTGAATGAACCATTTAAAACACGCAATCAACACCAACAAAGCATATCAAAAGTGCTCTGACGTCCAAGAAATTTGTTGAATAATTTATTTTTTGTGTTCTGCAGTGGCTTTCTTTTCTCTTCTTTTCTGTTCCTTGATGAGTTGTTTTAGGACTTTTTGTTCCTCCATCATGAAAGCACGAATGATCCTATCAATCACTAGGATGAACATAAAACCTACCGGTTACGGACACAAGTATGACAGCGCGAACCTCCATATGGCCTGTTAACAGTCTTTAACCTTTTACTCATTGAGGTTCTTTCACGCGGTCTGGACGGCTTGATACCGAAAAGTTTACTTTTGCAATCGCCACATTTTGGAAACGTTCCACGTTTTTTTACATAAATGTAGACAACCTTGCCACCCGGAGTTTTGACTCTAAAACAAAGATACTTGTGATATACCCATACAGAATAAAAGAATTGTAGAACATGCACATTTATTACTATTATAATACATTATTCCATGACTAAACCAAATACAGATTGTTCTGAAAAACTTCACGCAAAAAGCATTGTATGAATTAGCTCAAGATGAAATTCCTTCAATATACCTCCACATACTAGCTTAAAATACATATTTTAAGCAATGGGTGGGAGGGAACTTTTATTTTATATATTTCGCTAACGATATTGAAAGACAATGCCAGGTTGCTCATAACTTGCTGAGACTTTCCATACGTCGTTAAGAGAAACAGATAAGTAGACACACCAAATCCTATTGCTTTTAAGAACTGATCCAATCCACGATCATTTAGTGAAATATAGGACGTAGTGTAAGGAACTTCTATCAATCTTATGTTCTTAAACCACTGATGTTATCCCGGTAGCTAGCTACTTAGAATACTACTAGCGATCAAAAAACTTGACTCCGCCTTCATTAGCACAATAGTTTTCAATTAAGGTACACCTAGTTGTCAGTTGATGCAGCTGGCAGATATTTCATTCTAGTACACTAAGGCAACTTGACTGACTCCCATGGGTACAAGATGTGCACGTTAAAACTAATGGAACAGAAGTTTGGATCGATATGTGGTAAATAACGGACAGAATATTCAAGGGAGTGAGCTTCAATTACACCTGACATGTTCCAGCTAATTTATGATTGGTACACTTCGAACACACTGCCATGTAAAACTAGTATTAATTAAAAGGTGACGTTTCCGCACTAAATAACGTGGCAATACCTGGAAATGAGTCGAAAATTTAACATATTTGTAATAAGTTATACGAATATTCGTCAAGATTAGAACGAATAGCTTGATAGTAATTGAGCGCCGAGTATAGAGAAGTCACTATATGTGAAATTCTCAGCGATTGAAATTTAACTAATTCCAACGAAGTCCAGACAAGTTAGCTGGACGAAACGTTGGAATTAGTTAAATTTCAATCGCTGAGAACATTTTAAATATAATTTTCACATATATTTGTAGTAAGGTTTTAGGAACATAATTTCACCTGAAAAAAACATAGCGACGTAATTATCACGATTCAGCTGAGCCAGAAAGGACACAATGTTTTCTTAAGTTATGATTTGAGTGAAATAACTGTCTGATCGAGTATGCCAATTTAGAACGGAAAATGTCAGCCATGAGATTACCGTGCCAAAGCCCGGTCAGTACAAGGCTATTATTTTAACCCTCATAATGGGCTACAGAGGGTGAATTAGATGAACGCTTGAGTAAATAACACTCAATAAGTAAGAACTCACTTCTTTCTCTTGTTGGAATTGGTATTGTACGACAACCTACGCCTTAAAGTCAACCGCTGCATGCTTGTCAACCAACAATTGTGCGAAAAATATGAGGGAATACAAACAAACGAAACACTGTTCAATACAAATCAGTTAGTTTACATTTCATGAGGAATGGAACGCTGTGTCTATGTTGGCCTTACTGGTGTATTTCTTTCACTTGGTCTGAAGTATCTTAAAGAAGTTTGCAAAAGGGACTGTGACAACATTTTTAGGTAACAATTTTCATTTGCTGATAATTCTATTGGAAAATAGATAGAAAATCAACGGCGTATGTGCAGCCTGTTAGACTTGGTTGAATATCAGTCTTACTTCTGACAGTGGGTGAGTTTAAATTATATGCCTGTGCTATGGTCATCGTTGGTTTCATCCTGTTTTCTAACTTATAAACCACTGAACTCTGTCTACTAGATCGCTAATTTCAGTAGGTAACTGAATACCCAGTAGACAAGAGTAATCTTGAATTCTCTTCAGACAATAGTTCTAGGTTTGTAAACTCTTTGGAGTATTCTTGTAAATTTTTCATTCTTCATGGTCTGAAAAACTAGCTCTTGTCAGTTGGAAAGTAATCATTAGATCATAGGAATACACGTTATATTATTTTAAGTTTTCCAGTTTGCAGGAACGAGGACCAGCTTCTTCAATTGAATTTTTCGGAGAATACTCTATACACTAGCTTGAATGGCTTGACATCTAAGTGATTAAACGCTTCACGTACTGCCTAAAAGATTATGAATACTTTGACTATACTAAATATCAGCGTGCAGAGGTTTCCAAGCTCTGACTAATAGTACGACCACGTTTACAATGTGACCTGCCAGGTGGTAAGTAAAAATTGTTCATTCTGTATTCATCTGTATCTTAATCACCAGTATGGATCATTACTTACTCGGACACATTTATTCAAAAGTGTTGAATGATAACCCGTTCTGTTAATTGAGTTACACCTTTCCAACAGTGTTTCCTTTGTTTTGTATCGTTTCTTTTCCCGTATCGTCCGTATATAGCAAGAGAGAATGTTATAGGAAATCGGGGAGATAGTCAACCTATAATATAAAATTATTCGTAGACTGTAAAACATTTCCTAATTAACACTCACACTTTGTCTTTGTTCAACAAAGAACAAATTCATCGATAAAATGAATTTACATTTAAATCGGATGACACAGAACTTGTGAAAGTCTTCTGAACACCATATAAGATTTCCGAAATATTTTCAACGCACTGCTTTCGGCCATCAGCAGATTGCATAAATGGTCTTCTTTCAAACTTTTTGTTATCATACTGACGTGTTTATTTTTAATTATTTGTAATTCGTAATTCCTTAATAATTCGCCAAATGAGATAAGAGCATACAAATCACAATGTAACTATTACTTGTAGCCCAAGTTTCTTTAATTTCAGTGACATATTTTGATGCAGACGTGACTGATATATGGTCGAACTATCTTACTATCGATTCTTTCAGAAACTCGAAAATAAGGTGCGACATTGATTCGATCAGCCAGAGGATTGCGCTTACTTATTTTGGATAACCATTTGAAAAGGTAAACGTGTAGATCCGATCCGTTCATTCGGCCACCAATCGTATTATCACGAAAGTATTTTGTCTTTTTGGTCCACCTTAGGTGTTCTGGTTTAGAGTGGTAACATAATTACTCAATTAGTTTTAAGAACTCTTCATCCAAATTCGTTGTAACTAATCTAATATGTTATGTATGCCTCTATATTATCAGGAAAAATTACCTTACACTAGATATTCTTAGTAGGTTTGCTTTTATAGTCATAGTTATAAATACTTGGTTTCACACTAGATAGATGACTGAATGATAAGAAGTGAGTCGAGTTTCAAAAGATATTACATCATCTGTTGGCAGGTGTAAGGGTGAAGAATTTTTCGATCAATGCTTGAAGGACCAAATATTTCACCAGATAATTTTAGATATAAAGGTACCGTAGATATTAGGGGTTTAAGAGTGCCTTTACACGTGACACCTTTATCATCGAAGAATACCAAATCGGCCAAATCAAAGTCAAAAATAAAGGGGCTCGAAGATATATTTGTAGGTCTATCGTTATGTCGAGAAGTGTTCGGTCTAAGCTGGCTAATCATTGAAAGGGATGCGCAGCACAGCGTACCCATCCGTGATCTGGCGCGAGTGCGTGACCGAGCTCTTTCAGTTAGGTATGTCGAGTAGAATTAATGAGGTTAACATCAATGGAGTTTTATTAACCGCTACAGCTCCCTACCCCTTCTAGTAGAGTGGTGATTACCCTAAGGCGTGGTTAGGCAGAAGTTTAAATCCAACAAGCTTGTCGTTGGTGGACTATTTTCTGATAGCTCGGTGTTACCAGTAGCATAGAGTCGTCTTTCTCCAATATAAGGGGCTATGTTGCACAGTGTAACAATAAAATATGTACAATCAAAATTTCCATTCATTGTATTCTTCGTCAGATTTTCACCTTTTTTGGCCGTTCTGGAAAGGAACAAAGACATTGCAAGTGCACGTCGAAATAAAGTTGTCCGTGCGTAACGACACAAAACGTGAGAACAAAGATAAACTGGTATACATGCGCAATGTTAACACGCAAAGCGTAACAACAACTTTTGCATAATCATTTTCTTAAGGAAAAAAGTATGGACATATTTGAGCAACTTTGGTCTTTTGGCACGACAATACAAATAAACGAGATAAAATAAAATGTTATTCAGTGTCCTACACACAGTAAGCGTTTAAGTGTTCCGGGAACCTTAGTCTTCTTACAGAGTGCGTAGTTTCGGGCCAGTTGTCAGATACCAGCGTAGATTCTACGTGAGTGTTCATAATCGGGAAGGGCATCATAAGTGTGAAGTTCATGTCATTCGAGTGCAAGTGAAGAAAATCAACATTGTTAGGGTTTCCTTCTAAATAGGTGCCTTAAAAATAGACATTGCTGGCGTTAGCGTTAGTTCCGTCTCTATCGATGGTAAATTATTTAGGTTTACGATGAAGGAGTTTGAAGGACCATTCGTATGCTAGGTCCAGAGGTCGTCGTAAGGAACCGCTATCTTACCCAATTACCTTGTTCTGATTTCAAACGGGCAAGGGCGCGTATCCAACTTATCCAAGCAGCTGTCCAGCAGTCCAAACGTGGTTTGGATCCTATACACAAATTCTCATGAAAGTCGGAGTTTTGTTGTGCCACACTATTCTTCGACTTGCTCTTTTGTAGGGTGTATTATACTGTGATTATCATCCTATCCTGTACATCGGGAACATCTCACCTCGAAACATAAGAAAAAACTTATTTTTATTCGACGGACAATTACCAGTTCGTATTGTACCTATTGCGGACTTAAGTCGTAAATAGGTCTGCAATTTATTATATACTCACAGTCTCTAATCCTAGTATTAACCAGGTTAATGCTTAATAACAACTAATACTCAGATATTATATTTAATTTAACGAGCACTGTGCTCACTTATATTCATATCATGTCCAATAACTCCAGTAAAAGAGGAATTTCACCAACTTCTAAGCCAAATAAAAGGTCCAAATCTGTAACCCCTACAACTGACGACTTAGTGCTTGACAATTTCGAACCTTTAACTACTGAAAAATATGTGCATTGTACACAAATGTCTCTATCGTCACCAGATTCTCCATGTCGCAGCCCCTCTATCTTTACGTGCAGTATGCCAACGGTAAGACTGGTTGACATACAAGACACTATACCTACGTGCATTGAAAAGTCAGCACAATCTACTAAACAGTATGTGCTACCAAGGCCTAAGTCTAAAATTTCAAAAACTAAAGAGTTCAATGGTCCACCTCATACGCACCAAAATACTGATAGATATAGTAATGACATCCGACAGCTAAAAAACTCTCTATCCGAAATTAACGGCAAACTTGAGCAATTAGCACCCCTCACTCATATATGGGGCCTTGATACAGACAGAAATCTTGAGCAACTCACTAAAGCTGAGTGTATTTTGGAGTTTGTGGCTGAAGAACTGACGAAGAGAGTAATGTCCTCCTTCAATGCAGTTGTGTATAACCTCCCCGACCGCACACACCCATCTAAGTTAAGAGATATTTGCCTTAGAGCATGTGGTATGCCGAACGTTAACTGCAAAGTCATCCGCCTTAGAAAAAAGTCAGACAGATCAACTTGTCCCCTCTTGTTTATGTTTGGCTGTTGTAACGATGCTAAGCAGTTTATTGATTTGAGCAAAAACATTAGCTCACTAATTCCATACAAAAATATAAAAGTCACTCCAGACCTTACGCCCTGTCAACGTCGTGTAAGAAGACGCGAAGCGATAGAATTGAATGGGAGTGTTACAGTTAATAATCAGCCAGAGACAGTTTGCAACACAGCAAATAGTTTAAAACACACGAACATTAAGCATGACACCACTCCACATACGGCTGACCACTCTGTTGATCTAGATGAGTCTACAGATCAGAAACCTTTGGATAAGATACGGACCCCAACTGACACCAAAAACCATAACGACATAACTAATCCCAACTGTTCATTCAGTAATGTACTAAAATGTGAGTCGTGTAACAACACACGTGCAACTAAACCTATACACTTGAAAATTTGTCCTCCTAAAGACATTCCACAAGTAGACTTGAATGAACGTAAGTTCATCTCACAAAGAAAACGAAAGAATCCTGCTCTGAAAATAAAGGGTGGGAAGACAAAACTCATGATACCGAATAGGGAAACACGTAAGATTGAACCCAACTGCTCTATAGGTATCCCAAGAACAGTGAACAGGTTCTTCCCGCTGCTATCGTATAACTTGCCTTCAACACCTCCAAGTTGCAAAAAGGGTGGTGGGCTTCAACGCAGCAAGCCTTCTTACACGCAGACTAACGAAAACTACCAGAGAACTGGCCACCCAAATCACCCCCTGAAGCCTAAAACCATAAATAAGAACGGTAATAATAGGTTTCTCACTCCACACCCTACCTACATTCCCCAGGATCGCAACTGTAATTACTCTCAAAAAGAAAACTTCTCATACCCTTTAGTACCGACCCATCACATAACAACGGCTCC